AGACAATAAAGTGCATCTTTTCTATATTGCGGCTCTCGTTTAAAGAGAGGGCAGCTTGCACAAGCCGTTCGTTGCCAAACCTGGGAAGTTATTGTTAGGTCCTGTGTGAGTTCAACACAAGCAAGAGACTTACTTGAATTCATCATCGGTCTTTCCTGCATTCAACAAATTTGACTGTACCAAGAACTGCAATCCAACAACTATGTCACCTCGTGATTGCCTGATGAGTGTGACATTTTGCGGTGATGTGAGATCCACGTCTTCATCACCCTCTGTTGAAAACAGGAATTCACTTGTCAAAAGTTTTTGCACCAAGGAAAATGAAAATGGGCTACCAAGAAGGGCTCCCCAGACCATGATGGAGCGAGAAGCGAGAGGGATTTCCTCGAGACGCTTGGTAAGGAACCCAAGCCCGAGCCCTTCTCCATACACAGGGGCCACAAACTCAGTAAAGATTCGATCCAGGTCAAACAGCCATTTTGAGTCCTTCCAGGAATACCAAATGCAGTTTTTGCTGTAACAGGTTTCAAGCATGACACGGACGTAGAAGGGATTTCCTCGGCTTTTCTCCTGAATAACAGCGCAAAGAGGTGTCAACGTCGGATTAGGCTGCTGGTGCATTGTTGCAGCAACAATTTCCATGACATGATGCTCTGCAAGAGGCTCAAGAGCAATGCGTGTGATAGTCGGCATATCTGTCTCGAATAGAGCCCGGACTTCGTCAGAGGCAATCTCATCTTTCCGACTGGAAAGTATGAGCACACAAGGTAACTTTGCTTTGATGATCTTCAATACCAAGTCCAAAGTTTCGTCGTCCGCGTGCTCGAGATCATCTAGACATACAGTGATCAGCTTGAACTGACACAGCGTCCTAAGAATTTCGAGGAAAGTGTCCATGAGTCTCATGTTCTTGGAAGCAGCGTTAGCCAAGAAGAAATCGAGAGAAGTCTGGCCTTGATCCAGACCCGGAATGTTGACGCGCTTCGATGGCTCGCCTCTTGGTATATTGAAGGTGGGCTTGGCATCGGTCGGTCTGTACTTCGCACCCGGGGACATGAGCTGTTCGGGGAGATCCAAGACCCGATGGAGAGTTGGCCACATCGGTCGCAAAGCCATCCGAACACTATTATGATAGTTCGTTGTAACATCTCGTTCAGAGAATGTTTGCCGTAGCAAACTTGCTAGAAGCTTTGCAAAGGGTTCGAATGGAACCCGTTTCGCTCGGTCCAGGCGTGTGATAGCTATGCAGCCAAGTTTTCGAACTGCGGGTTGTATCCGATTCAGAAGATCTGTTTTCCCGATACCAGCAGCTCCGCTGATCGTGATCACTTCACATCGCCCGCTGCGGCGGCTATACCCACCGGACCTTTTGGACAGAGAATTGTACGAGTCCGTTTGGCTAATAGCATGCTGACTTGGAGGTGGTTGACTGCTGTGGCCGGTGGAAAGGTCTGTATTGTAAGAAGATCGAGAATGTGAGGGGCTTTTCATCCGACTCGAATCAGATTTCGGAATCTTTTGTGTATCGTCGGTTTGGCTCGCGCCATTCCCAAACGTTGGTGTTCGAGATGACGTGTCGCTGGTTGCTGCTGCATCTTGGGGGTTAACAGGTGAAAGTTGAAAGCTGGTGGCATTAGAAGCCGATCTTGGAGGCAGATGAAAGGAGCCAGAATCACTGGAGACAGAAGCTAGCTCAAAGCTTTCGACGCGACTATCAGAAAGCGATGACGACGAATTGAGGGTATGCATTGTACTGGGGCTCCGGGCACCAGCTCTAGCTAAGGCCACTTCCTGACGCTTGTGAACTTTTTCGATGACGCCAATGATCCGGTCGTATTCTTCGTTCCGTCCAAACATTTGAGATGGAAGAGTGAAAAAGGAAGAGACATCTCCTTGTGCAACTTGAAACTTGGCCAAAGCCTCGCTGTCTCCATCACCAAGCAGTTTCATGATATGTGTCAGGTCTCTCTTCACCGATGAAATCGTGTTGTAACGGTCATGGACTACTTTCTGTGTCATTTTTTGGACCACGGCAGAGAGAGCATCTGGGATATCCATTCGTTTCCCAGAAACTGGCATTAATCTCTTGCCTAGGACGTTTTGCACAACCTCAACGGGGTCGGTTCCATCGAAAGGCAGTTTCCCAACCAGCATCGACCAAAAGAAAAGGCCCAGTGCATAGATATCAGTGCGGCTATCTGGTTCTGTGGGCATTCTTCCGGTCTGCTCTGGGGCAATAAATTGCAGCTTGTATTTGGCTCCAAGCTCGCGCGATACCGAAGACCATCCCTCGCTGAGAACATTATCAAATGCCCTTGCACCGTTGCCTGTATTTGCAAGCTTGACTGCTCCGGTGTCGGCACAGAAGTGGAACGCATCTCCACGAATTTCACCGTGAACTGTCTTCAAGCCATAATGCAAGACTTCCAAGCAATCGCAAGCGCCGATTGCGAAATCGAAGAATGCTTGCAAAGAAATTTGCTCATTGGGGGTGGCATTGTTACCCTCACCTCTGGACCCGGCCACAAAGGAGGCAGGGCCAAAAGTGACTAGGTCCCGCAGCCTGTCATGACCTGGCGACTCAAATATCGCAACAAGGAGAGTCTTTGAATCACCAGAGTCTGCCTGCAGTCTGATCAAGTCGATCGGTCTTATTGTGTGGTTGCAATCCGGATCAGACGATTGCACAATCGACCTGAGCATGTGAAATTCGCGTTCAAGTCGGATGATGTTGGTAGAAATTCGTGCGAAAACGGGGATCCATATTTGTTCGTGTTCACCCCGGGAGAGTGAAATGTCACTGCTCGTTTCGCTAGCGCTTGGTCTCCGCAACGCTCGAGCAGAAGGCCGGGTTTCTGTGCGAGGGGAGAAACGCGTGAAGCTCGACGGTCCGGAGGAGGCAGGCCCCGAGGAGTTGGCTATAGGGGTCGAAAGGTCGGATTCTAGGGTATGGCGAAATCCTGAAATATGCCAGTGGTTGTACGTTGAGTGAAAGGGCTCAGTCGCCTGGTCCCAGGTATAGCCAGGCAACTGACCTAACCGTTCAAACAGCCGGGCCGGTGGAAGTGGCAGGTCTTCGCCGAAAAGAGTATCATCCATTTTTCAGTCTTTGTTGGGGTTGGCCCGGCGTATGGCCATGGGCCTGTCTCTGACAGGAGTATCGTGGGTCAAGGTCAAATTCAGTGGGGGCGCGGCGGAGGATGGGATTACAGATGATCGGACATAGGGATGCAAGCGGCACCACAAGAAAACGGACTTGCAAGCTCGGTCGCGGTACCGACTAATGATAAGTTGCGTCGCCTTCAGGCGTAGAAGGTCGTGACATTGAAGGTACAATAAGATCTATGCTGAAACAATCTAGGGAATCGCGGACGTCGGAAATAAAGGTTTTTTGCTGCCTGAGGTTTGAAATTAGTCATCCATCACAAGAACCCCCAGATAGGTGGGCGGTATAGACACCGGATGGGGGCGACTGATCTTTATGGGCTAAAATATGACTTACATGCGTGACCAATACGGCATTTGGGCGTACCCCCTACGTCATTGAGAAACGGGCTGCTTCTGTCTAAATATAACTTTTTCCGGACACACTACGGGACACATCCGCAACTTTAGCGAGCCAAGTCTCATCTCATCGGTTCGTATGAAAAGACAAGTTCTCATGTAGGTACCACTCTAGAGTACCGTGGATCCCCTTAGGCTCTTCACGTGCATGTAGATGGTCGATAAATGTAGTCAATTTAGTGGGGAAGGGGTAGGCTTTGATATATAGCTAACTGGCATTGCCGAGAGACAAATAAAAGGAACTGAAGATTTATGGTTATTGTCACCAAGGTTAACTTTAAAAGTGGTGGGTTCATAAAAAGCAGGCGGCTCAATATATATAAACCGGAAGAAGAAATGAATTTATACATCAAATAAGGATAGCTAGTCGGCATTATAGGAATGTTTATTTATACCGGCTGACGACAGGGGGTTCTCAGCTGATGTAGATCGGATGACCGTCGGCGCTGACATGGTAAATTATAATCCAATGCCATGCCATGTCATGTCCAAACTGTGTATGTAGTGGGTTTCTTGCGTAAAAAGGGGCGTCGAGAGCCCATGCACCAATCATTCCCAGATCGAGCCAACTTAGCGCCACAAGAGCCCCATTGACGTCGACTGGTCGATCTCCTCGTTCCCAGGGGGTTTGGCCTCTGCACAGCGTCACAATGCATTTTGGGCTTTCTAGAATCTCCATTCCGAGTGAGTTAAGAGGCTGATCAAGGGGGTCAAGGGCCTTTTTTCCCCCCTGGTCTAGACCGCAGAGAAGGCCTCCTCGTTGCGCTCTGGCATATCTATACCGATATGTTACCACAATACCAGTGGTAACAGATCATGTGCCCCATGAGGATCATTTAACCAACCAGATCGCAAGATCCGAATCCTCACTCAAAGTACAGGTAAGAACAATCACCGGAGTACGGAGTAAAGATGGAGAGAAGTATATGAGTATGAGGGTGATCGTGGTACCGGTACCGGGTTTCGAGTATCCAAGGAAAGAATCCAGGTACTGGCAAGATGAAGGGGCAGGGGATTCTACACATCTATGTTCAAACATAGATCATAGAAATTAGGAAACTGAGAAATTAAACAAATAACTCAGATCACATAGTTTAACAGAATAAGAAAGAACCGTTCGTAACTTGAGACAAAGTTTTTATTTCGCAGGGAGGATATACGTCATAACCCCCCCCAGAGCCAGTGCATCACTGCTAGTCCACTTTTCCTTTCCTTCATCCACTCCTAAATTGATCCAAGCAATGGGGCCTCTTTCTAACAGTCCTCCCCGAACACGTTTCCTCACCTGATACCCTTGCTTATCTTCTTCAGGATTCTAAATCCATCCGACTCTCACCTTCTTCTTTGGCGCTTTCACCTTTCCCTCGATGGTCATGACATGACCGCCTCACCCTCCTGTGCCCCAGCCTTCCCACAAGTTTTTCCTGCCGGAGAGAATGGGGGACGTCCATAGTAGGAGGAGTCCTCCATTCCCTTCGCCTACCGAGACCCTGTCGTCCACCGTGTCTCAACCTCATATGCAGCCTCTCCGATCGCCCGGCTACCGACCCTCCCATGGTCACCAGTCCCAAAAGTTGGCCGATGAACTTGCGGATAGGGTGGATGCTCTGGAGAAGGCATCGGTCCAAGTACCTCGTCTCTCTCGTGGGGACTCCACGGAGCATAGTCTTGGTCTGACGCCGATCACCGAAGACCCGCGATCGGAACGTGAGCGACAAGAAGAGCAAGGACGGAGCTCACACACCCTAAAGGAGTTGCGAAGGCAGATGGAAGAGCTGCTCGTATATCAGCAAATGCAGCAAACCCTGCCTCCAGTTTCGCAGACCCAACCCGTGTCTGCCCTCTCGAACGATACCCCAAGAAAGAGAAGATTGTCCAACACTTCCGTGGAGGTTCCAGTTACCATCGTGCGCCCATCTACAAGCTCAACGGACTCAGCCGGAACAATCAAAGGCGTCGACACTGAAATGCCATCTCCCGATCACCCACAACCGACACCATCATACCCCTTTCCACGAATGCAGCACCGAGCTGCCAAGATGGGGCTTGAGCCGGCAGGGCGCGTGGGACAATTTAAATTGAAACTTCCGTCTGAGAAGTCTCCTCCCACGGCGGAATCTCAGGCTACGAATAACCCTCCAACAAAAGAAGCAGACACCGCGCCCGTTTTTCTACCCGATCAACATAAAAGTGTCATGGAAGATCCCAATTATGCCAGCCCCAATCTGTATGATCTGACACTACAACTGAATGCTCAGTCAGGACTCGAATCATGGTGGTCTAACCTGATCGACATTCTGCAAACTCATTACGGCGCCGATCGTGCATCACTTGCTGTTCCGGGAGATGTCACTGATCTAGAGAACGTACCCTGGGGCCAAAAAGCAGTCTTCAACGGCAGCATCGATACGTCGTTGGATGACCTTCAATCACGTAACCTCGAAAAGCCACTGTGCCCTGAAACTGCAGAAACAACTGCCACACCACGTAAGAAACAAACAACTGCCACGAGGAAGCCCGAGGATGGATTGCAGAGCAAAGCCTCGACTACACGGCCGTCTCTAGCATCGCGTCATTCTTTCGCAGGTTTCGACAAGAACAAGGAGAAAGTCCCCCACCTGGATCAACACCAACTTCCCAAAACAAACACCAAGTCTGCGAAAAAGCACGTACAAATTGCTGGCCAACAAGAAGAGCTTGCAGACGATACCATCAACGCCCTCCTCGGTGGTTTGCGACAGGCTGTGTTCCCGATAGCCCGAGCATTGGAAGTGGAACCAGATCCTCTCATTAAGCGCACAGGCGTGCCCAGACTGTTTGGACGGACCCGTCCTGCAGTTTTGACCCGCCAATATTCAGAAGTTTCCACGGATTTCGCGCATCCTTGGAACGAGATGGTCCAAGTCACTCCCACTGTCGATAGCCCCGAATCCAGCTCGAATCAAGGCACAAACCCGGCCCCATTGGCTTCGAGCCTAGGTCCCCTTAGGCTGAGAAATTACGACGAATACGAGCAAATCCCACAATCTCCGTGGTCCCAGTCTCCTGCTCCCTCGCCTGCACCTCGTACGCATGCGGACCAAAACCCATTCTTTACAAATCACTCGGTTGATGAAGGGGCTTTCTCCAAAAACCCTCCTTCGCATGATTATTCCAACAACCTCCCCTTGGAAGCTATTGGAGTTGATCAATCCAAGACCGTCATTCACATTCCTCTTCTACACGGCGGTCATTTTAACCAGAACTCTTCGTCGACGTTAAGATTCCCTGTTGCCATTGTATCAATGCTGTCTACAATTGTGCCCTACCCGCCCAATCTTAGGCAATCACTCGCGTTTTTGATGCCTCATTTAACAAATTCTTTCTGTCTGGCTCAACGAGTTAGCCAGCTTGAAAAGCAGTTAGTATCAAAAGTGGAGACTCCCCGCTACGGCAACCTACTAGGTCTCGGGGGAACATTCTCAGATGCAAGCAGTGAGCTAGAACTTGTTGCGGGGCTAAGTGGTCATGTCAATTACTCCGTCGGTGATAATCACCCAATGTCTGCGCATAACAGCATCACCAGCCCCAGCGACCGTTCATCTGCGAAATTCAGTCCCGCTGTATCTGGATTTGGGACACCCGGGTTTGATTTAGGATATGGATTTGGATCCACGAATCATTCTCCAAGATTGACATCACGTTCTGGCGGAGAAAGTGCTGATGGGTACTTCAATGTTCCACCGCAGAAAAGCACTCGAGAAAATATTTCTCAAACCAGACCTCGGCTCTCTAAGTCAAAAACCAACATTGAATCTTCGACACCGGCTTCCCCCGGGAAATCGGTTGGCAAAGCGACCACTTGCGAGGACACCAATCCACTAGACCCGACTGTGATAGTCGGATCTCCATTACAGGAGATCAGACCCCACCTTCCTACCCTTTCTCCAACTCAGCAGTCATCACGTCAAGCATCTACAAACTCCTTGTATGCTCAGTTACAGCGAGAGATCTCACGCCCGGTTCCTGACACAATAGCCCATTTAATGCTGAACTCAATTCCTTTGCATCTGTTCCTGGCCAAGCCCCAGAGCGGCGAGGTGATATGGACCAACAGCAAGTTCGATGCATACAGAAGAAGCCAGCCACAGGAACACACATTGCGTGACCCGTGGCAAAATATACACAGCAGCGAACGCGAGCATGTGGATAGCGAATGGGCAAATGCCTTACGGACAGGCGCGCAGTTCACTGAAAGGGTCCGGGTCAGAAGATACAATGATGAATCAGCATACCGTTGGTTCATTTTTCGGGCAAACCCGCTGATCTCATCGGCAACAGGAGAATTGCTATATTGGATCGGCTCTTTCCTGGACATCCATGAGCAACACATTGCTGAACTTGAAGCGACACAAGAAAGAGAGAAGTTTGCTATCGACGCAAAGTACCGGGCATTTTCCAATTCGATCCCACAAGTCGTTTTCGAGGCAACAGAAAACCGTGGGTTGATCTTTGTGAACGAGCAGTGGAATTTGTACACTGGTCAAACCCTCGAGGAAGCACACGACCTTGGATTCACCAAACATGTCCATCCCGCTGATCTTGAAAAGTGTGGAGGATTGTCTCTCAACAAAGCAGCCCGTCATGCAGACTCGGACGACATTGCACCGTCATCATCCATCGTCGGTGTCGGATCAGCTCTGGATGAGCTGGTGAGACGCGGAGTTGCTTCTTTACAGAAAGACGAGAATGGTCGAGTGTTCTATTCTACTGAGATTCGTCTTAGTTCCCGAGGTGGTGATTTCAGGTGGCATTTGGTTCGCCTAGTACGTGTCAAGACAAGCAGTTTTGGAAGCGAGGAAGCCTCTTGGTACGGAACATGTACCGATATCAACGACCGCAAGAATCTTGAAAGAGAACTCAACAAGGCCATGCAACAGCTGAACAACCAAATGGAGTCCAAGACAAAGTTCTTCAGCAACATGTCCCATGAAATTCGAACACCGCTCAATGGAATTCTGGGCACCATTCCGTTCATTCTTGATACACAACTTGACAGTGACCAGAGGCGAATGCTTGACACCATCCAAAACAGCTCAACCAATCTTCGCGAGTTGGTCGATAATATTCTCGACGTTTCGCGTGTTGAAGCTGGAAAAATGTCGATGGTCAAATCTTGGTTCCACGTCAGGTCCATGATAGAGGATGTGATTGACACCATCGCCTCCCGAGCGATTGATAAGGGCCTCGAGATCAACTATCTCATGAGCGCAGACGTACCATCCATGGTGATCGGAGATCGATTCCGAATTCGCCAAATCCTCATCAACCTTCTCGGAAACGCGGTCAAGTTCACCGCGCAAGGTGAAATCCATATCTCCTGTAGCATGCATCGCAATGCAATTACAGATGACAAGGACACCCAAGCATTTTTGGGTTTCGAGGTCGTAGATACCGGGAAAGGCTTCAGCCCACAGGATGCGGAACGACTGATGCAGCGGTTCAGTCAACTTGGAGAAAATGGCTCTCAGCAACATGCAGGCAGTGGCCTTGGACTATTCCTGTCAAAGCAGCTTGTTGAAATGCATGGCGGCAAGCTTACGCCTAGCAGCAAAGAGGGCCAGGGCGCAAAGTTCTCTTTCAATGTGGAGGTTGATGCTCCTCCGCCACCGTCGCCCTCTGAACAACCTAAACTGCTTCGCCATGGTTCAAGCGGCTCCAGAAGACCACCAAATTCCAGAACGACCTCTTATCAACAAGCGCCACCTTTACATTCTCATGACTCTGACTCGCCTTCTGGACTCGGCTCAAAGAATCTCTACCCACCTTCGATCGGATCTTCCGCTTTGCCCACCCCAGATATTGGCTCTGATCCTTTACCGCCTCCTTTGGATCAGACGAAGGCCTTGTCAGGCATACCGGATACTGTTTCAAGCCGAGAAATTGAACCTGCCGTCACGAAACCTGGTGCAAGCTCATCGAATTCGCCAGCCCATTTAACATCGCCTTTGTCTCAAACATCTGCGTCTCCAAATCAAGCAGAGGGCCCTGTCGCCGTTCCGTCTAACGGTCCATTTTCTATCGTGATCTTATGTTCGCTTGAAAATTCTCGAAAAGCCACAAAGCAGCACATCGAGCAAGTTGTACCTCGCGAGATTCCTTTCAACATTAAAGCATTGCCTGATGTTGATGAGTGGAAAGACATGCTACATCATACTTCTGATACGCAGCCTTGCACGCATTTGGTCTTGAATCTTCCCACCGATGACATCCTCGAGGTCATTCACCTTGTTTCTGATTCACAGATGGACCCCGCACCGGTTGTGGTAATCATATCAGATCTATACCAGAAACGCCAAATCAGCACGCGAGTCAAAGAGCTGGCGGCAACAGGGAAGCAGGTCTTCATTGTGCCAAAGCCCGTCAAGCCCTCTGCATTCTCCACCATTTTCGATCCCGACAGCAAGCGTGAACTAAGCAAAGATCGGAACCAAGACATGGCACGCGAAATCAATAACAACTTCAAGACCGTATCCAAGATGGTCAAAGAGGTTTTGGGTAACAAAGGTTATCGAGTCTTGCTTGTGGAAGACGACGAAACCAACCGCGATGTAAGTTCCTGCGGAAATTAACGGGCCTGTGGAAACCAATACTGACGCATACTCAGGTCATGTTGAAATACTTGGATAAGATCAAACTCATGTCAGAAACGGCATCCAATGGAGAGGAGTGTACCAACATGGTGCTCTCCAAAGAACCAGGATACTATTCTCTCATTATTGTAAGTGTTCACCCGCTGGTTGCCTCTTACCCCACACAACTAACATGACTGCAGTGTGATATCCAAATGCCCATCAAGAACGGTTACGAGACCTGTAAAGATATCCGTGACTGGGAACAAAAGAACCATTATCCGCAGATTCCAATCATGGCCCTTTCGGCCAACGCAATGACAGATCAAATCGAAGACGCTGCCCGTGCAGGATTCAATGACTATGTCACTAAGCCGATCAAACACAACGAATTGGGCAAGATGATGATGGGACTTCTCGAACCCGGTCGACCCCTCATGCTTTTACGGGACCGCCTTGGCCCAGAGCATCAGAAAGCCGCCGCTGCTGCTCGCCGTTAACCCCACCTCATCGGATGACCTTACCAGCTCTCCTGGTTATCTGCGTCTTCAACTCTCGTGCTGCTCACCTCGCATATTTCGTTGTATTATTCTTGTCTTTTTAGCCTTCTTGTTCTCCGCCGGTTCTTTCATTTTGCTTTCTTACGATGGACCATGGAGCGACTTTTTTGGGATCTTCGGAATCAATGACTTGTACAGAGACGCCATTGAAATCTTACTAGACACGCCCAGAGTGTGTATATCGATGTTGTCGCACTGGTTCTTGCTGTATCGGTTTGGATTGTTTTTTTTTTTCTTTTTGGACGTTGCATGCGACATACGGATCTGCATTTACTGTTGGGCCTCGGACACTATTCCCCAGCATTTTCACAGGGTCGGAGGGCATTTGTCTATATTTCAACTTTTTCGGACTCCTCATTTAGGTTGTGGTCTTCCTCTGTTTCCCTTCCGGTCCTGTGCATCATGGCGTCAGTTGTTTTTCGAGAACAAACAGAAGCAGAATTGTTCTTTTCATTGCGCTTTCTTCTGTGTCTTTCCCCTTCTCTTGTGATACCAGACTATGAGCGCACGAGATCTATATAATTTCTGGATCTGTATTTGTTAATAATTCAACTCTTTTTCATATCTATTTCCATCTCTTCTATCTATCTGCTTGGTGCTAGGTCTGCTGATTTCAGAGTTTGGCTGGTACATGAAAGAATCCTTGTACATGGATTGTTGGCCTAGCTTTCATATAATAGAGAGCATTTCCAATGCACAGATCAACATTATGTAGCTTTTCTTCTACAATCCGCCTGGATCTCGAGTATGAGAAGAACCTGATCTGACAGGTTCCAGGACCAGCCTAATGAAAGCTAGGGCCAAGCGGTAAATTTTAGACCAAAGGGACTAGTAATTACAAAGGAGACTACCGTTAGGCATCGGAGACATGCAAGGCGTAAACTATGAATCATCGGTACTTGAAGTCTACTTATGGCGACCAGATAACCCGAAACCAATCAGAATGGGCGTTCCAGGAGACGAATCAGCCTCGCTCTGAGCCACCAAATCGCAGTTCCAGGAAGAGAAAAAAGTCGAGCCGTGAACGAGATGCTCCGGAAGTATGTATGTGTTGCTGTCCCTGTGACAAATCCGAGGTTAACTAACAGGAAGCAATTGTATACATGGGCATGCCACACCCCGGTCAAAGAAATCAAATAATAAAGCATAGCCCGGAAAGGAAAAGCGAGTGAGGTGGCCATGGCCAGTCATGGCGCTGCATGTGGCGGTGAAGCAGTCAATCCCCGCCTCAACCCCACTTGTGCGTTGGGAAAAAAATCATACTTGGTCCTTTGGAAGTCGAATACACTGTATTGTGCCCTGTGAGTACGTGAGGCTTAAATCAATGGGTAAGTGGCTGCACATTAGGAAGGCTGGAGTAGTATCCACCGTGCTATCCACACTCGGCGACTCGGAGTCTGGCCCTAAAGGACAAAAGGACACTATTAAAACATCACGTACATGTACATGAAAGGTTCACAATGGTTTCGGGCCTGAGGGAGGGGCGGATCAGGGCCGGACATTGGGCCCTGACAAGTAAAAGGATGTCCAATTCTCGAGGTTGTGCGCGTCATGTCTGATGTGGCCGAATAGGAATGCCCAGCCAATTTGAGCCAATCTGGCAAAGACAAATAGTATCCCTGCTTTCCTCGAGCTAAGGGCAAAAGATTGGAAGGTGGTGTCACAGGTAGTATCGACGGGGTATATCGTGGTCAGGCTGCAAGGCTCCTTAGGCACAAGGCATCAGTCACTCCGGGTTCCAGATCAAACACCCGGGCCTTCAAAGGATATGCCCTGCAAGAGCCTTTTTTCCTTTTTTTGTCAGCATCCAATGAAGGGTATGCGGCACAACATTGGGTGAATTGCATTTGCGGCCTGCAGAACGGCCCCCTTTTTCTGGAGATGGGGTCAAGCAAGTAATCGGCCATCTGCATAGAGTGGAGAGAGACGTGCTCCACGTTGATGGGCGTCTACAGCGCTTGTTGATGCTGCAATGCTCTGTTGCTCCTGGTAGGAACCGATGGCCATTGGTGGACGGCAGAGGAGGGGGGCACCTTTGGCTGTCGATTTTGCTGTGCAGCAATAATAGCCGCATTCAAGCAAACGACGTAGCAAGGATCAGCAAGCCCTTTTCTTTCGTCATTCGACACCTTTGGATCAGACTTTGGTCGCACGAGTCCGGGATCAATCTTGCTCGAACCTCGCATGGGGCCACTAGCAACATTGGTCCCTTCGAATCGATGCCCGTTCCTCGTTCGGTTCATGCAGTGATGTCCAACATTCCAACATTTTGAGCTTCCCGTGTGACCCTCTTTCGGCCTCGTTTTTGGGCTCTTGGGCTCCGATCTCATGATGTAAGGTCGTAAGACATTTCTGTTTTCTTTTCCTTTTTGGCTTTTCAAGGCAGACCGGCGATATTAACCGCTCAACCTTTCTCTCAACTAATGATCATGTCAGATTCGGAGAGTTAGATCCTTGAGAAACGCATCATACCGGTTCTTATGTAGTTCACAGGCTTATCTCGGGAAGCGAATCAACTTGGATCGACCCTCTCCCCAGCCACCGAATTTTGGAAGCAAAATAAGTTCAGTGGAATAAGGGCAAAAAAAGTAATTGAGGTGCGGAAAGCAGAAAGAAGGATAGAAACAGGATGGAGGGCAAAGCCCATATTTATATCTCACCTTGCCCAACTCCACCTCTGCTGCTATCCTCGAACCCACCCTCCACGGCCCTCCTGGCCAATTCCTGAATACTTTCAGCAGGCGCTTTGGCCGCAGAAAGTTAGACATGATAGGGGGGCGTAGATCGAGACCAGTTTTGGACCAAGACGCCACGGAACGGCGGAAACCCTAGTGGAGGAAGGCTGGCGTGCTAGACCAGCCAAGTGAGTCTTTTTCCCACTCTGAGCGGGGTTAGGGCGGTCCAAGAGGCAAATCGGCGGGCAGATACGGAGACTGATGTTCAGGCGGAGCTCGAGGATTGGAGGTCCCGGACTGAGGGAGACCAATGTGCCCCCGAGTTGTCCAATGGCTCCTTCGAGGCCTTCACATCCTTGCCGTCACCCTCGCCTCCTCTGTTAGGATTGGGGAGGGTCGGAGGGAAGACTCCCCGTGGAAGGCTATAAAATCCCGCCTCTGGTCCGGGGGCCTCTGACTTCTCTTCCTCTTCCTTTCTCATCACTCCCACCTGGGTCCGTTTGCACAGTCTTCCAATTTCTCTTCACACCTTTGATATTGCTCTGCCTTACCCCATAGAGGTTCATATACTCTCAACAGCCTCGCTGCCTCTTTCACAAGATATACTTGACGTCGTTGCAGTCTGTCGTTATGGCCACTTCTCGTCACTACTATCAACCGGCCGCCTACTCCATCCATGCGCCTTCCAAGGCACCGGCGCCGGCGGGGCTTTATCCCATCTCCAGAGTGCCAGGCTCTCCACCGAGTCTCTCTGGCGCAAGCACCACTGTCGGCAGTCGTTCCTCCGGCGGACTCACTTTCAGCTCCGCTGGCGACTATGACTCTAGTTCTGCATCGTACTCTGGCGTCGATGTCGTGGATGTCCTGAGCGACCGCATGCAGGATGCATTTGACCCAACACCATTGGACAAAGGTCTCGCACGACAGGCACAAACGTGAGTTGTCCCAGCGTAGAGGCCAAATTATCAAGTCATCGATCCCGACAGACTTCCAGCGAGACTACAGGATCAAAAGATCTTAAATCCCGCAAAAGCCTAAAAGCAATTAGCGAGTATCAAGCTAACAGCAACTGAACCCACCAGCTCGGGCCAGCTCAACGCAAAGCAACAAGAACTGCTAGAGCTCCAAGCCCTAGCCCAACGGCGACTGAAAGGCGTACGAGCCAATTTCTCCGAGGGCCTGAAAACAGCACGAGAAACCAAGCGCGACCTAGAATGGACACAAAAGCGTGTGAGGTGAGCAACAATAACTCACCCCTGAAAACAGCCCCTTTCCGAAACGATTGACGTGCAAGTTCCGCTCCGCTCCGCGACAGGGGCTTCCGCTCCGCCGGAAATAGAGCTTGGCACGTGCACGTCGATCAGGAGCGTGTGGGCTGTGGGCTGCCGCATTAGCGCCGATGAGAGTGCTTCTAGAAGACAAGGCTGACGAATGCGGCTCTGGAACAGTGCCCTGAAAACTAAGGCCGAGAAGGCTCATCCCGATGAGTACCGCCGGTCTTCGAAGAAGTATAGCTATGACGGATACTGACCGGGTCGGTCCGGTTCTCTTGATGACTGATATTATGGGATAATGGGAAAATACGGGGTCTCTTGGTTTCAGATTAGGATATACGGTGTTATTTTTTTCTTTGTCTTATTCCTAGTTGGGCTTGATGCATCCTATGACGATTTTGTTCCAGGCACGTGTGTATATTTTGGGTGGGAAGTTGGATGCCATGGCTTCTACGGGAGGGATTCTCTGAATGGTACTTGTTTTACATGATTTCCTCGTATGAGCTAGTAGTTGATGCCTGTAGATCCGCTACGATAGGCATTGGAGTATGCCCTAACCCCGCTGTACAGAGTGAAGACCCCTGTATGGTATGTTATATAGCTGTACTGGAAGCCTAAGGCCGAAGGCTGAGACGTTTCAGCTGCGAGTAGTCGGTTGGCCTTCCTTTCCCGTTTAGGAACATCAATTGTTGATCTGCTTTAGATTAAGATTAAGGACCTTGTCTCTGTCTCTCATTCAAGGATTTAATATTGCATCTACCAGATTTATTATCATCAGTCTTTATAAGAACGAGCAGCAATGACACAAGGGTAGACAACAAGCTGGGCTGTCAGATGGAAGGTGCAACCGTACTGTTTAAAAGAATTGGCATGCTCTTGTAACATTTACTCTATGGTCTTATAAAAGTGGTGACAAAACGTGCCAATTGGCGTTGCATACTACTCATGGATGCTGACGATAGGCCTAAGTACATCAGAGAGAAGAAGTGTTATGTATGTTGTAGAAAGTACTGATAGCAAATGTTTAATTGCAAACCAATTGTGGCCATTATTCCAACTATTTGACAGAGATTACTCTATAGAAACCCGTTACTGGAAGCTCTGTTCTTCCTCAATAGCTCGGTTGATAACACGAACAAATCGGCCAACCTTATCAGAATCCTGCTTAGCCGTCTCAATACCCAAAAGGACCTTCTTGATACCAACGCTGACGCGTCCGTCATCAGCAAGACCGCCAATACCCTCAAGGGCACGTGCGATCTCTTGGGCATCAAATGCACCCGATTGCTCCATAATATATTTCAGCTCACCGAATGAGCCAACGTTGGGAACCATGATATCCGAGTTGAAGGAGTTGTAGATGTCCAGCTGCTTCATCAACGCACGCTCAGTGGTAGTAGCCAGAACCAACAGGCGACGACCATGGGTGGGCTGCTTCCTCAGGAAGACCATGAGGGCCTGTAGCACGCTGTTACTGAAGCGAGGACCAATTGGCACCCAGTCAATGATTCGCTCAATGTTGTCAATGACAACGATACTTGTCTGACTCTTATAAGCGCTGTCGAAGATCCGGCTGATGTGCGAGATCTTGGCTGGTTCGCTGAAGCCGACCATGTCCTCGGGGCTGATGAGCTTGATGAAGGGGAAGCCGGAGTTGATGGCAATACGTGCCGCCAGGGCAGTTTTGCCGCTGCTGGTGGGACCGTGAAGCAGAACAGAGAAGAGTGGTGTTGACTCGGCCTGGCCGACTTGCTTAACGAATAGCTCGCCTTCCCGGAGGATTTCGTTGATGGCTTGGGAGTAGTGCATGATGCCGTACTGGATGCGGCTGGACAGCTCTTCTTCGGAGACACCAAAGGCGGGCTTGACTTCCTCGAGAGATTGAAGGAAATCGGCACGATTGACCTTCATGTTCACCACATCGTCATTGATGCTGGCCATGGTGCCGACCTTGACATGACGGGAAAACGCAAAGGAGGATGCTGACTTGACAAGACCGGCGATCTCAGCACCGGAGAAGTTCTTGGTCAAATGAGCAAGCTCAGTCAGGTCAACGTCGACATCCATGACATTGTTGTTCCGCATCTTCTCGGTGTGGATGTTGAGAATCTGGCTTCGACCGTGCTCGTCTGGGAGCGAGATCTCCATGTGCACCTCCAGACGACCCGGACGCAGCAGGGCTTCATCAATCATATCCATGCGGTTGGTCATACCGATCAACAAGATGTTGTTCAACTGGTCAACACCGTCTAGCTTCGACAGAAGCTGGTTAACCACACTGTCACCAACACCAGTGCCGCCACCAGCTCCACTACCACGTTGCTTGCAGACGGCATCCAACTCATCAAAGATGATAATGTGGAGGCCACTCTCGTCGCCCTTTTCTCTGTACTCCTTTTCGGCATCGGCGAACATCTTTCGAATGTTCTCTTCTGACTGACCCACGTATTTGTTCAAAACCTCTGGACCATTGATAATCTTGGGCTCTCTGGCATTGAGCATCTTTCCGATTTGCCGAGCAATCAGGGTTTTACCTGTTCCGGGTGGTCCATAAAGCAAAAGACCCTTAACGTGCTGAATACCCAATTTCTCAACCAGACCAGGAGGGAAGATACGAGACGCGAAAGCACGACGGAAGATTGTACTGAACTCAGAGTCCAGACCACCAATGCCCATGTCCTCAAACTTGAAGCCGGGTTGAATGATGGAGTTGGCCGCTGGGCGGCGGTTAGATGCCTTCACATTGATACCGGTCTGGGCATCCTTGAAGAAGTTGAGCTGAGTGTGACGTGTGAGGATACCTCTAGCTACAGGGTCAGTTTCAACATGGCCAGAGCTGAGATCCACCTTCTCCGACGTCAAATCGACCCGTTGAACGGTCTTGACCTGCAGAAGAAGGGGAATGCTCTTATGATCCATCAAGACTCTCTGGCCGGGCGAGAATAGTTGGTTTTCAAAGTTCTGTAACCTATTAGCGTTTGCTCGTGATATATATGAAGTTGACCTACCTTAATCACGGCCTTTGCCAAATCATCCTGATCATAAGGGGCCTCGACACGCTTCTTGGTAGATGCGAAGCTGACTTCAATATCCGCAGAGCCCAGATAGGCCTGCCCGCCTTGGCTGAACGGATCATACAGCTGCACCTTGATCGAATCTCTCAATCCAATGTTCGCCCATGTTCGTTGGGGGTCTGACATGCTCATAAGACCGGGGGGGAAGCCATCGAGAGGGCGAGCGGAGAAGACATAGAGATCGTTGATGAGGAGGAGGACATCGGCGCCGTCTCGTGAAGGTGGAATGTCTTGTGGCGAAACGGCGACACTGCAACTATTAGCAACGGAACATAGATACCGGCAAGTAACACTCACAGGTTACCAAAGGTGTAGTTGTCGTTCGGACTCTTGCTTGGCTGAAGAGTCCAAGTCGGGCCTGAACCTCGCTGTCCTGCTGGCATTCTAGATGGCATCTGCTGCGGAGGTCTTGCTCCAGGCGCTGGTGGGCCACCGTAACCCCTTTGATCAACAAACGCATCAGTCATCGGTACATCGTTATCGCGGACAGGAGCTGCAAATCCTGCACTGGATAAAGGATTGCGATTGTTATCATACCGTGGAGGTGCTTGGTTGGGGTTCGAGTAACCCTGCGGGGATGGCTGTCCGGACTCTGCTCTGGAGCCGAAAGGGTTTGGAATATTGCCACGATTGAACATGATGTGTTCGTTGGGAGTCGCTAATTGACGAGGTTGAGGGGAGGACAGCTGAAGTTATTGTACCGCCACTCTGTCGGGAACGAGTAGGCAACGATGTATGACAGTCAGCCTTGCGGCGCAGCAGACTGAATCTTGGTAATCCGGATGTTATGGTTCCCTTGGATAAGTAGAGATCCACAAGAGACACAAATATGAAGAAAAGTGAGAAGTCAGAGCAGTGAAGCTGTCAGGGCACTTTGGCCACTCCGGGAACAGCGTCGGCCCGTGGGAACGTCATTATCGATAAGGCTTTCACTATCTTGCTGGTCAGAGTCCACGTTGCCCAGTCCAACATGCCTCTGTAAGTGCGATTTCTTGCTATTGAAGAGAGCTTTACTGACTAATTTTCTTCTTTCAGGCACTTGCTAGGCAAAAAGTCTTGGAACGTCTACAACCTTGAGAATGTCGCCCGGGTCCAACGCGACGAGGCACAGGCGAAAGCTCGCGAAGAGGAGGATGAACGCCTCATGCAAGAGATCGATGCCGAGCGCAGGATAAAAATACTCCGGGGCGAACGTCCACCGACACCACCACCACCCTTCCGTCCATCATCCGAGTCAGCAACTCGATCAGACCGGAAAGCCGGTGACGATAGTGGGCATCTCCGCAAGAGGAGGCGCGTAGCCGGTGAAGACGATACGGACCGAGACATACGATATGCCAGAGAGGATGCGGCGCATGCTATTGCCAAGCAGGAAGAGCTTGCGCTTGCTTCTCGGAAGTCTAACAAGACCGCACAGGCACCGATCCTCGATGCCGCGGGCCATATCAACCTATTCCCAGCTGCAAGTGCCAAATCAGAGAAGAACTCAGAGGCCGAGGCTGAAAATGCACGTAAGAAACGAAGCTACGAAGATCAATACACCATGCGATTCTCCAACGCAGCAGGTTTCAAAGAGACAATTGGTCAGAAGCCGTGGTATTCATCTGGTGGCCAGGATGCGATAGCCCCTGGGGCTATGTCCGAGAAGAATGTGTGGGGCAATGAGGATCCAAGGCGCAAGGAGAGAGAGCAAGCTCGTATGGATGTCAATGATCCACTCGCTGCCATGAAGCGCGGTGTTCGGCAGCTGAAATCCACGGAGCAGGAACGCAAACGATGGAATGACAATAAGCGAAAGGAGATTGAATCACTTATGGCCGATGAGATACACCAGTCTAGGCCTCGGCGGAAGCGAGCAACGTCAGTGGACAGCCTTGAAGGGTTCAAACTTGATGCACCTGACAAGGCATCCGAGAAAGAAGGAAGAAACTCCCACCGGCATCACCGTCGTCATCGAGATTCAAGTCGGAATCGAGGTCGAGATCGCTCGCCTCGTCGTTCTCATCGCCCCTCTTCACATCGCAGCCATCGTGATCGTCATGACGATGTCCGTGCGGCTTTCAGGCATTCGAGGAAGTCTGGATCAAAAGATTATTCCTAGGATTATTTCTCTACGCCACAAAACCCAATCCAATATTATGATACCCTTGTGTACGGCTCTAAATGCAAATAAATTTTGTATTCACTATATCTCATCATGCAAATGGGTCACATTTAATTTTTTTTTTTGGCGTAGAATTCGTCACAAAATTGCTCCATTTTTACAGGAGGCTCCAGAGCTGGACGCCCTTCTCGTTTGCGTCAGAATCCCACTGGACACTGATGTCAACACCACGAGCGCCCTTCTCTGTCTTCTCATAGCCAACCTTGCCGGAGATGGTCTGGCCCTTCTTCAGGGGTTGAGCGTTGTGCTTGGCCTGGTCAATGAGAAGAATGGTCTGCTGCCAGTGGGTCTCGGTTCCGTGGGGACCAGTGGTGAAGGAAACAATGCCCTTCTTTTGCAACTCCGAGGGAATGGCGTCCTCAGGGAGAACAGACTCGCTGGAGGGCATAAAGAAGATGTCGAACCAGATAGCCCATCCGTCCAATGCGTCGATGTCCTGGTTCAAGGTGACCTGGAATTCCTTCAAGAAGGACAATTCCTCAACAGTGATGGTGTGCAGAGGCAGAGTCAAGAAGATTTGAGATTCTCCAACAATAGTGTCTGGCTGGTTGCTGCGAACGACAGCCTCGTCATAGATCTTGTGAAGCATGCTGTCCATCTTGAACCCGTAGACATTGTTCCAGAAAGAGATGTGCGAGGCAATGAAGTCGGGGTCGGCATAGGGAGCAATGCGCAGTGTAGCGTGCGAAGGAGCCATGAGACCACCAGGAACCAGGTAGCGGTCTCTGGCGTAGATGACGGAATCAAACATCGCCTCGAAAAGGAGACCATAACCCATCCACTCAGAGATGATGATGTCGACCTTCTCGACGGGCAGAACAACTTCTTCAATCTTACCACGGATGCAAGTGATCACATCTCCGAGGCCATTGTCGTGGACAATTTCCTTAGCCCGATCAATGATGTTCGAGTTGTCCACAGCAATCACCTTCTTTGCGCCAGCCTTAGCGCAGAACATGGATAGGATACCAGTTCCACAGCCGACGTCAAGAACAACCTTGTCCTTGAAAACATGCTTGTTCTCGTAAACGAAATCACGGTAGGAGTCAGTGCGGATAGTATCTTTCAACATAGATTCGTGGATTGCTTTGGCAAGAAATTAGCAACCGAATTGTACTCAATATGAGGATAACTTTCATACCGTTGTATGCATACGAGACGAAGTAACCATCCTCAGCTTCCTGATGTCTGTCAATGGCATGGGATGAGGGCTTCGGTGTCGATGCGGCAAGCTTCTCGTCCTCCTTGGACAACTGATCATCCATAGACTGTTGCACAGCAAGACGGTATTCGGAGAATTGGGTCTGGAGACGCTCGAGGTTCTCCTGGAGTTCGAGGACCTGTCGCTCAGCCTCGGTTCCAGGAGCAGATGGTTCATCCTGCTCCTCGGCAAGGTCATCCAAGCTGTACAAAAGGGCGTCGTCCTCTAAAACGGGCTTAAGGTACGCATCGTCCTCGAACTTGGACTTGGAAGAAACGTCCGGGGCATTGTTTCCGTTCTTCACTTCGGACCGAACGTAGTTGACCAATTTAATATTGTCGAGGAAGTCCAAGTCTAGAAGGGAAAAAGAGTTAGCTTTGCGTTCCGTTCATGAACAGTCTCGTAAGATAGAAATCTGCGCATACCAAGGTCCTTCTGGATCTTCAGCAAGTCGAAGTTATACTTCTCCTTGCACTCCTTCAACATTGAGCGCGCATCAGGGAAGACTTGTTCGGAGAAGAGCCCAACCACAGGTTGCGACTCTTCATCGGGCTCAACATCTTCCCAGCCCTCCTCGTTGCTGGTATCGGAGGAATCCGAGACCGAGTCGGGGATATCCTCGCGAGCAGGTGGGTTCACAGCAGAAGCAGACATAACTAGTCAATTGCACAAAATTGCAGCGTGGAGGGGGAGGGGCAGATAGCATTTTGATAGAAAAAAAAGTTGTTATCAGCGCGTGCCTCAGGCCATAACCCCGTTGCCCCGCCCCAAGTTTGTTTATTCGCAATACATCACATTTGCTGTCCGCGACCTTCTCCCTTGAATAATCGTTTCACGCTTTGCCCATGTTGCCCTGATATCTTCGGTAGCTCCTAAATTCCGTCCCTTTGCCGCATATATCCTCGTCTCCCCATGGCTTTCTTCTTCAATCGCGGTCGGTCGCGGCAACCCGCCGAAATCGTTCGATCAACGAAGGAGTTATTATTGAGGATTCATGACTCCCAAAATGCCCTCAAGGTTGGTTTCAAAACAGCAAGCTGCTGATTTACGAAACACTTCGATTAATCAATAGACCAGGCTGAAGACGAGCTGGCGAAGCAGCTCGGCCAAATGAAGGTGATGGTGCAAGGAACACAGGGTTCGTCTTCTGGAAGCATCAATCTTGGAGCCAACCACTAACATATTACTCTTTAGAGGTCAATACATCACCCGAACAAGTCCACGCCCTCGTCCAAGCAACTCTACAAGAAGACCTACTCTATGATCTATCTCGGAGCATCCATTTACTTCCGTTCGAAGCCAGAAAAGACACGCAGACCATATTCTCTCATATCCTTCGCTTCCGGCCTGTTTCATATGCAGACGACAAAGATCCTCCGGTAATCTCCTACCTTGTCCATCATCGGCCGGAGATTATCATCGAGCTATGTCGGGGGTACATGCAACCCCAAAGTGCCATGCCATGTGGCGTCATTCTCCGAGAGGCATTAAAATTCGACGTGATCACCGCCGTTGTACTATATGACCAGTCGAGTGAGGGGGAGCCCGCTGTGCGGCTATCGGAGCTGAAGCCGAACCTACCTCAGAGAGGAGATGGCGTGTTTTGGAGATTCTTTGATTGGATAGACAAGAGCAACTTTGAAGTGAGCGCGGATGCATTTACAACTTTCCGGGTATGTTTCGAGCAATGATTATGGGTTGACAATGGCTAATTCTACTTTCCACAGGAGATTTTGACCCGGCATAAGAGCCTCGTCACTGCATACCTGGCCACCAACTTTGATCTATTCTTCGGGCGATTCAACAGCATCCTTGTCCACTCGGACTCCTATGTGACCAAAAGACAAAGTATTAAGCTTTTGGGAGAGATATTACTGGATCGTGCAAACTACAACGTGATGATGGCATATGTGGAGAGTGGTGAAAATTTGAAGCTCTGCATGAAATTGTTGCGCGATGATCGGAAGATGGTACAGTATGAAGGGTTCCACGTTTTCAAGGTATGTCAGCCCTCAAACTTCTATAAACACTCCATCTAATAAGGTATAGGTGTTCGTGGCAAACCCAACCAAATCAGTAGCGGTGCAAAGGATTCTGATCAATAACCGTGATCGATTGTTGCGATTCCTGCCTAAGTTCTTAGAAGACCGAACTGACGACGACCAATTTACGGATGAGAAGAGCTTCCTGGTCCGCCAGATCGAACTATTGCCCAAAGAGCCTGTGGACCGGACTCGATCTGCTCGCGACTCACCATCTGGGGCTAACACGACCGCTGTGGCTTGAGCGTTGAATTTAACACTTGGATCGCAATGACCTTTCATGGCCTTATGACACCCTTTCTCGTGATTATAGTTGGGGACGGGGCCCCCTTTTTTTGACTGCATTGGCTGATATCCCAGCCTCGGCTGGAGTTCACGTTTTGTACATTTTGGAGGCGTATAATTGGAAAAATTGAGGATTTTGCTGCATCTAGAGACTTACGTAGGCATCTATAGGGGTCTTTAATCCCGCACGTCCATGGGGTTTCTAATCTAAGCACAACTAGCGCGCTCCACCAGACTCCTTGTTCTATCCACACGGCCGAAGGTGGGACATGAAACCCCCTTAAACTTATTTTAGAGACATTTTAGAGAAAAAAGAGTTGAACTCTTAGCCGAGGAATGAGAGGGGAGTACACTTCCGTATGTGTACATGTACTTCGCGCCAAGACCCCCCGAAATACTCCACCTCTCCATATCTCCTAGGCCTCAATTTTAATCTCAACCTTGACGAAATCCTGATGCTTGAGATTCTACCATTGTCACTCCTTTCTTGGTTAGAGTTGTCTGTTTAAACCTCTCCTTTCAACGGTTCGATCTTCGTTCTTTGCGTGCTGCTCCTTCTGTCCTTGTTGCGATTCAGTCCATTCGCAAGTCATGCCAGGATAATGGTCAATGAGGTTTCTACATCGTTACCCGACCGGTCGGAGCCCCGTTCGTCGATTCGCGCCGTGCCCTTTGAAAATACCGTTCCTGTTGGCGCCCCTCTTGCAATTCGGTCGGTCTCGTTACCCACGTCAGATGCGCCACTAGCTCCCAATGGCCGATCGTTCAGCACGAGCGCTACCTCGACTCGCCCTGGTGACAATTCGCCCTCTGCATACGCGTCACTGCACGATATCAAGCAAGACTCGCGCCTTGCGCCGTCAACGCCAACCGGAGATGGAAGCCGAACGATACGATCGGAAGGTCCCCCCTCGTTGCGCAGTGTGCCCAGCATTGTTGTAGATGAACCAGGCCTCCGTCCCAGCTCGCGGCCAGGTTCACGGCCGGGCTCGCGTCCAGGCTCTCGGTGGTCAGAGCGTAAATGGGGTGGTTTGAGGAAACGTTCGGCGGAGATGGACAGAAAGTTTTGCTCGGAATCGCCTCCGCCAGTACCTCAAATCGAACGCCCTTTTTCTGGTATTCCCCTAGAGATACCGACGGCATCTTTGGAAGGGCTGGATAAGCCGATGAAGTTTTCCACTCGTGGAAGCTTGATCAAGAGCAATGCAAATCGCCCCCGCCCAAAACCTTCCAGGGAGAAGCTGGAGGCACACCCTGAACAAGTGCTGGGATCCACCACACCTCAGAAGGTAGACGAACAACCTGAGCCACAGCCTGAGCATCAGCCAGAACGGCCCCCGGAACGCCCGACTCCTGAGTTGACGCCTTCCCCTTCCATCACCACATGCCGAACCGAAGGTGAGAATGGAACACCGAAGGCGGTCCCGCGACGCGCTCAACCGCAAGGCACTCTTCGCCCGAGACAGCTGAGTCTTCCAAGC